CAGAGAAAAAAACGTAATTTAATGAAGAAATGTTCCACAGAGCAGCGTGAACTATCACCTTCTGTTTCTGTCAGAAATGCTTTACTCATTATTTCTCCAGGCGTTTCAGATCTTGACACGGTGTGATGACAGGTGCGTGCAACTGCTGAAGTGTATGCACCGAGGAACAAACAGGACAAATGTTAATTACTGATGTTTTTCCTCTTCCTCCATAGTACACCATTATGTTTTTGTAACATTTTTTATCTTAAATGTTTTTATATATTTACGAAAAGATTTGATCCTAATTTTAATCTGCTCCTCAGAAACTAAAATCCAGTATTCATTTCTCTCTTCAACAGCCAGTGGGAACCTGCCAGCCTTCACCACCACTGTGTTACATTTTAGATCAGACAACAATCACTGATTGATTAGTCCACGGACACTTTAACTCACCTCCAATTGTGAAAAATTGTGCGCCTTTTTTTTTTTCTTATCTCTCATTAGAACCTTCATGGTACAGGTCCAGAAACAGTCACAGGAGCAGGAACTATATCTCCCAGTGACGTGAGTATAAATGAAGTGCATCCTCCCTGATGCTTTCAGAAGAAAAAAAAATCCCAGGGTTTGTGCAAGCTGTAGCTTCTCAGCTGTTTCTGGACTTCCATGTCTTCTTTTCCTCCACCTTTTTCTCTCACATTTTGCTCTTGCACTCAACTTTTCCATTAGCACTTCCTGAAAACTGGAGACCTGATAAAGCAATTTTCAAAGCAATTTAAAAAATATATATATTCTCCATTTTGACCGCATGTTATTTGCAGCCTCTGGTTGTTGTGTACAGAACTGCATGCCATGTGCCACTTCACCTTAATGCTGAAAGCGCATGACAAACAGCTTTAGCTGTACATTAGGATGTGGAAGAGTAATAGTGGACTTTGATTAGTACCTGCGCGGCAACTGCATTCCACTGTTTTCTACTTTGTAGTGATGTTATTCTGGGAAATGGGCTCAGAACTGCGTTGCCGTTAGTGCTGTGTAATAACTGAACACCACTTATATCTCTAAACCAGTTAACCTCCTTCCCTCCATTCTTCTCGTCCTTTCACGGTTGCCTGTTATTCTTGCTGGACTCCTCTGCTTCTGTTCTCCCTTTTTTTAATTAACAGAAATAATGCAGTCTGTTTCCTCCTCTCAGCTTCTTTCACTCTAATCTCACTTTACATAACCCTGCTCAGGTGTGATGGAGCTCTTTTTCCCCCTGCTGTTGCTCTGTACTGTTCTATTGAGTCTGTGACCTGGCATGTGTTGATGTACTGTACATATATATGACGGGACTGCATGTGCATTGGCTCAGGTTTGGTAGGTGCTGGGGTGCAAGTATTGGACTGGTGTTCTTCTGTGTGCTGTCCCGGCTTGTGAACGACTACAGAAATGTTTTTAACTTCTTCTAACATCGTGTTTGTTTGTGTGACTTGAACCAGGCTTTGATCACGTGTTCACCTCTGACATTTCCAGAGCTCCCAGTATGTCCAGTGTGTGGCCGGCTGCCTTCAGCTGATGTTGAGGGTCAACGAGTACAGGTTTGCCTGGGTGGAGGCTGATGGAGTCAACTGGTGAGTACACAGTACTGGCTCCTTATTAATGTTACTCCAGATTTGGAGTTTACAAAAATGCTGCAAATCCTCAGAACACAATTGTAGTCAGAAACAATCAGGTGTCCCATAACTTCTTGTCCTAATGCAGCAAGAGTGTTCTTTTAAGTAAATAAGTGTAATTAATTGAAATGTGCCTGTGAAAACAATAATCATTTGAGCAACCGCAGAGCAGAAGATAAAGAATACTGACGTCTTTAGTCCACTCTCAGACTGAAGGCTGCCTAAAGACAGAAGCTCTTTATATAAGTAGCCTAATGATCCTGCCTGTCTCACCTGCATCTATTCAAAGCACTAACCTTGTGAAAAATAAATGGACATAATTAAAGTTAAAATTTAATAGTTAAAATGTCTGAGCTTCAGACGGAGAAAGGCGTTTGATTCCAGTTAAAATGTCTGAGCTTCAGACGGAGTCCTGACTCACCATGGGTGGATATTACATAATGCAATTCATGGAATATAATAAATGTTTTAAAGTCTGTGTGAATCTTTGAGAGTTTTATTGTGTGAAATTATACTGCTTTGACATGTGGGTCATGTTTTTGCTGCTAATTTTTTTTGTTTTCCTTTTGAAAGCATCACAGCAGTGCTGAGCAACAAGTGTGGCTTCCAGCTCCAGTACCAGATGATCTTCTGTGTTTGGCTGCTGGCCTTTAGTCCTCAGCTCTGTGAGCAGTTGAGACGCGTCAACGTAGTGCCAGCCTTGTCCGACATCCTCCAGGAGTCCGTCAAGGAGAAGGTCACTCGGATTATTCTGGCTGCCTTCAGGGTATGTGGGGAATTTCTCGTTTGTTTTTGGGGTTTTTTTTGTCTTTATGGTCCTGATTAGTTTACACCAGTGGTTGTCACATGAGATACATTACTCCTCTGCTCCAATAATCTTATCACTTTGACGCAATTTTTGTGAAACTAACAGTGCTGTTAGGTAAGACCTAAGACGTCTGTGTGTTTATCATACCTTATAGAACATTAATGTTGACTAATTGATCGAATTCATAAACTGTGAAACCACAGTGCTGTGCCAATCAACCTGCATCACCAGATCCATGTTTTTTGTTATTTTTTTAAATATTACCATCAGAGGAAACATAAAGGATTTTGAATGAAAGTCTTCAAGTGTAGTTTGGTTTTGCCCAGTCCATCAATACCAGACGGCTTTAGAGCACTTGTTCAGAGCACAATGGTTTGGAAAGTGCCATTGATTGCATGACTGAAACATGAACCACTGAAACGAAGTCAGATGGATTCCAATCCAACTTAAAAAAACCTATATATATATACTTGGTTCCAACATCTGTACAGTTTATACCCAGGACATTTTTAACAGTCAGTTTTGACACTTTGTAAAGAATAGTAAATGTAGTGGGAATCCTGTTTTTTTGTTTTTTTTTTTTCCCCTTAACAGACCTTTACCTAAACTGGTCTGCTCTTCCATTGCCATTTGTCCCAGGTATCCATATTGAGGGGACTCTCCAGGATTTACTCAGAAATAGTTATTCATTATATTCTTGGAGTTTCGGGAACCTCGTCCAGACACCTTGCTTCTGTGTTTTTTTTGTTTTTTTTTTACAGTACTTGAACAACATGTTCCTGTTACAACAGGGCTCTGATTTTGTTCACCCCACAACTCGTACACAACACCTCTAACTGCATCCTGTTTTTCACTGCTTTACCCACTCAGGACCAAGTTCCACAGTGATGCTAATCAGAGGATTAGGAGATATCTTCTTATATCTTATCTTCTGTCTGTATTTTAATGTGCGATTAGAAAAGCAGTCAAGAAAACAGAGGATAGAAAATTAGATTTTGGAAAGGCATAGTCAGAGAGCGGAGAAAAAACAACCAAATAACAAAGGCTGTCATATGATTAAAATGTGATTGGATCAGTCACAGGGTGGCTGTGGATCATTAATCATGGTGGTGAGGCATGACATGGTATTTTAAGTTGAAGTTATTTGGTAAAAGAAAAATGTTCTCTGGCAGAATCTTCTGGAGAAGTCAGCAGAACGGGAGACTCGTCAGGAGTACGCTCTGGCCATGATTCAGTGTAAGGTGCTCAAGCAGCTGGAGAACCTGGAGCAGCAGAAGTACGACGACGAGGACATCACCGAGGACATCAAACTCCTGCTGGATAGGCTGGGGGAGAGCGTGCAGGACCTCAGGTACCTTGTCTGGACTCTACAGTGTTAAATGAACGACCTCTTCTGTTGTTAGACATTCTGATGAGTGGTTTGATGACGTTGTGAATGATTTCCCCCAGACCTTCCACTGAAAACAGTGTTCCACTCCACTCTAATCATTACCCACTTGTAACCAAACACTTTATTTTACTGCAGCAATAGAGAACAATAAACAAAACTCAAACAGTTTTGAGTTGATGGAAACATTCTGTCAGCATCACACACATTTTTTTTTTTACAGCTCATTTGATGAGAATTCTGTCTGCATCACACACATTTTTCTTTTTTTTTTTTACAGCTCATTTGATGAGTACAGCTCTGAACTCAAATCCGGCCGCCTGGAGTGGAGTCCAGTGCACAAGTCCGAGAAGTTCTGGCGCGAGAACGCCGTTCGTCTGAATGAGAAGAATTATGAGCTCCTCAAGTAAGATGGATCAAACACTGATGATCCTTGTATTGTTACATTATCTGTAGTCTCAACTTTTTTTTACTTTTAAAAATAACCATGAGAAGTTCATCTTATTCATCTAACCTCATATCATCGTCTGGGCTCCAGATCAGCTTAGAATCAAATGGTGATTTCCTTTAAACACAGACTGATCCGTCCTTTGAAAAGCTTCTGTTCTCCCTGGTTTTTCCTTTCATAGGATTCTAACGAGGCTGTTGGAGGTGTCTGACGACCCCCAGGTCATCGCAGTGGCAGCTCACGACGTCGGGGAGTACGTGCGACATTACCCACGTGGCAAAAGGTGAAGCATTTCTTACTCTGTTTAGTCCAAGGATCAATCTTATGGCAATATTGACACATTTTTTTAGTAATTTATATTATTATATTTTGTTTATATATGTATAATTTTAAAATAAATTGGTTGCAATTAAAAATGTCAATCACTGCCCAGCAGTACTCAGAATGAAACAGCTCTACTTCACATACTGTCTCCATTCAGACCTGCAGTAATCTCTCTTCTTTCCTCTTGAGAGCATTATATCATGTGTGAACCTGCACAGGCTCCATAGACAATTTCACTCAGACAGACAGGATTATTAAATCTCCCGATGCTGAATCAAAAAGGTCATTTTTCTCTGTGGCTGTTTTTTTTTTTTTTTTAACCATCTTTCAATTTTTTCCCTCCATTTTCAGGGTAATTGAGCAGCTGGGTGGAAAACAGTTGGTGATGAATCACATGCACCATGAAGACCAGCTGGTCCGCTACAATGCTCTGTTGGCTGTGCAGAAGCTGATGGTCCATAACTGGTATGAGAATGTTCAAAGAGTGACTGTTGTGATGGATGTTTTGTGATTTCATCATGTTTTCGTCCTGCTCCTAAACTGGTAAAGATCACATTTATAACTGATGACAATACAATAATAATACCTCTCCCCAGCTCTGATTCATGGAGCGACAGGGTTTTCTGTCTGACTCCGATTGCACAAGACCACGCCGAGTTTTTTAGCATTAACTTTAGAAAAGTATGTCCGTCCCCAAAACAATACTGTGTCACCAAAGTCCAGCTATTTTCTCAGAAGTGCCCGCCTGATCAGAAAATCTGTTGAGGATGTAGAAAAATCTCCATAAGTTTGCATGATTACTACCTTCAGCAGATGCTGCAATCAAGTCAAGAAGAACATTTTAAGTTTGGAATGTCCCAGGCTGGAAACCTATTGAAATTGTAGTGTTTCCTAAAAAAAGGGCTGAGCCTATTTCAGGCCCTGACAATCTGGCTGATTTGAATGACTTTTGCACGGAAGACAAAAGTGGACAATTCTCGTCGAGAATTGCTTAAACAAAACGTCCTTCAAAACTAATATTATAAGAATGTATTCAATTGTACGAATGCGTACATTTTGTTCCCATCTAAGTTCCAACAATAATCTTGTCAGAATATCTCGGACAATTTCGACACGTTGTAATAAATGAATTTCATTTCCATCCACTCCAAGATGAAGACCAATCCAAATAATATGATGCATAAGTCATGAGTCACCAGTGGAGAATGTATATTCTTATATTCTATTACCTTTAAGATTCTGATACATGTGGCTACAGTAATAAGGCTGTTTAACATTCACGGAACCAGGTTTTTTTTAGTGGAGGTGTTTGACCTCCAAATGTAAATGTCAGTTTGATCGAACCTGGAAAGAATTCTAAGAAATAAGATTTAGGCTGAAAAAAAACGTGACTCACTGTCCCTTCAATTCACTAACAGCTGCTATTTATTTAAAAAAAAATAAAAAAAAAGGACATTTTTTTATCATTCTCCCTATTAGGTGCTCCTCACTGAGACTGTTACCAGGGCTGACTTAAGTCTATAGCAACAGCAAATGTCAGCGTGGGAATAATAGAAATTTGTTTGTGGTTATTTAATTTAGACGACGTTTTGCAGTCAGACGTTTGTTTTTTTTCTTTTCTCCAAAAGGAATAATCCTTTCTTTAAAAGGAATAAAGGAAAATTTCAGTCCTCCAAAATCATTTAGAGTTATTTTTAACCCTGCCTGAAATGCATTAGTGTTACTCTGCTGTTTGTTTGTTATTGAACCACATGTTTCCTGCCCAGATATTAATTCAGCATAACACAGTAATACAAGGCACATGTGTGGAAGAGGGCATTCGTTTTAATTGGACAAGGCCACATTAGGCAAAATTTACATAAAAATCATGTTCAGAAAATGAACTGTAATGTGTTTAAAATGAAACGGCTCATTTAATGAGGATACAGAAGACTGCGATAAATCAACGTTTGAGGAGGAGAATAAAGAGACGGCTGAAAGATATGAATCAACTGAAGCTTCAGCTTGCCCTTCACTCTGGTCTTTGTAGCACAGCGTAGCCCAGAGTGTCTTCTTTTGTGATCTGAATGGGAGACAAGTCACGGCAGGGTTCCTCCCCCTAGGTGTAGAAGTTAGCGTTGTTGCTGGAGGTGCTAATTTTCCTCGTCTCTCATGTGATGTTCCAATCACTGACCAGAGACTCTGTTCCGCCGGCCACCCAGCTTTGTTTTAGATGAGTGAATCTGCAGTCAATCCTGAGCTAAATAAAATGTCTTCTAAAAAGGTTGGCACTAAAGCGCCCCTTAAAAACTAATGGCTTTGTCCTTGGCCTTCCAGCTCTCTGAGTGAGAAAATGCTTGAACAGTGATTAAGTATAAAAACAGAATAAAATGAATAGAAAATAGATGAAGGGATTTATGTGTCACGACAGCACTTGCCTTATTTTATTTCATTTATTTTTTAATTAATGTAACTGTTAAGACCTCCACTGTGGGTCAGGGTGAAGTCACTGAAGGTGACATTTCCTCTCAGCCCTGCCTTGTTGTTTCCATGAGATCTTGCTGTCCTGACTCCTGCTGTCTTGACAACAGTGATGAAGAATGTGTGGACTGCAATTTTTTTTTCATTATATCTATTTATGTAAAGCCCCTTTTTCCTTTTATGGTCTCTTTGATTCTAACTTACGTCATTGGCTGAAATGATTATTTCTTCTTTTGGTCTTGAACCACAGCTTTTTTATTAATTTTTTTAATGAGGTTGAAACAACACGATAGAGTTTTATGTACCATTTTCACCACTAGCCTGGTCATTTTTTTAGGTTGAAACAACACGATAGAGTTCTATGTACCATTTTCACCACTAGCCTGGTCTTCTAGAGAGGGGAGAATAGACCAGAGTGTGTTTGAGACCCCAGTGGTGCTTCATACAGACGGGGCGACAGAGTGCATCACTTGTGGTGAATGCATTTCCGCAGCTGAGAGTGCTCTAACGTTATATTCTGCTCTGCACTCCTACTGCTAAAAAGGTCGAACCTTTAAAAGCTGTTACTTTGGCGTGGAGTGTTGTTTTTATTTAGTATTGTTTCAACAAGATAATTGATTGCAGGCAGCAATGAGAAAAATACTCAACAAATGAAATGGAGTGAGCAGCGATTCAGCAGGGAGTTGGATTTGTTCCTCTTGGTTATGACCTTGGTTATGACCTTGATTTTTTTTAACACACTGAAAAAATACAGTGTTTTATTCTTCCTTCTGTTCAAGTATCTTGTTTTTTTATTTTTTTTAAAAAAGAGTAAATCTGTAGCAGTAATCATAATATTTCCAGGGTGAAAATCACTTGCATAGTGCTCCTTATTTTTTCATCACAAATCTTCACACATTCTCCAGGTTGTCAGCGTTAACCTTTAGCTGTGCTTCAAATAGCACCTTGGTCCAGAACACACTCCAGGAGCCAAAGAAAGGTAATAACAGGAAGGAGTCGTGTCATCAGGGTTGAGAAACTGGTGAGGAGCTTTCTGATCCACGCCACAGCAGTTTCTCTTACATTACCTTCAATCCAAAGCTCTGATGTAGATATTGTTTTTTATAATAACTGATTTCTTTCTAAATATATTCTTCATCCTGTTGCTGCACTGAAAGATAAATAATAAAAGACACAAAGACAGGGTGGAGTTGAAGGACATGCGCTGGTTTCATAACGTTTTTACATCACAGCTTGTGCAACATACAATTTTATAAAATCATAATTGTGTCTTTAAAAATATATTTTTTATATATTTTAGCTCATGTTACCAAATAAAACATGTAACCAATGGAAACATTGATGAGTCACAGCTCACCTTCATGAAATATAGAGAAAAATAGTTTTTTTTTGTGCTGTATTTTCAAAGACAATTTCTCAGAATTATTTTCCATCATCAGATGCTTTGATATTTCCATTATGCTCAGGATGGCCGTCCTGATGGCTCGTGAAAATGTTACCGCCGACAGGAAGAAAAGAAACATGAAAAGTAAAGTGTGACCTTTTTAAAATGGCCAAGTTTCTGCATCTGAAATACCACCGTTCCTCACACTGAGAAACTGCAACATTTAGGAATGTCATGTGACCTCAGTGTGAAATTATATATTTTAATATATAATGTAAGTCGTACACTGAGCCAAAGGATAAAAAAAGGGCACGACTTATAGTCCGGAGAATACGGTGAACATTTTCAGGAGTTTCTCCTCAGATGTTGAAGGACCGCAGCCTCTGTAGGAAGTACAGGTCGCCGACTGCTGTGATGGAGCTCACCTGTCAACATCGTTGAGGTTTCTGACCATGTACCATTGGATTTAATTTTTTCAGTTTAAAGGAAGTGTATTCCAGTTCGGGGACGAGGTAGAGGAGCAGGTCGTGGCTGGAAGTAGAAGAAGTAAAAAGTCTAAAGTGCTGCTGTCTTTGTGTTTCAGGGAGTACCTGGGAAGACAACTCCAGTCCAGTGATCAACAACAAGCTCCAGCTGTTACAGCTCGCAGCTGAACTGTTTACGTGTGTGTGAGTGTGTGTGTGTGTGGATGAGGGTGTACGTTCTGAAGACCAGCAGCTGGTTTCTGTGTTACAACCTGAAAAATCAATGGAACTCCCTCCGATCTTCATCTCCAGCGGTCTTAGGTGTCGGTTGAATTGATTGTCGTGTATTTGTGATGTGACCTCAGCTCAAGTGACCGTGTGGTGATTAGTGTCGCACTTTATGTCTGTGATAATGTACAAAACTGCAAGTAATTTAAGTCTCATCAGTGACCACGTAGAAAAACAGATTTGTCCAAATTAACTTAATATCTTTACTGAGTGACCGTGTCATTTCCCTTAGATGTAGGCTGTAAATCAGTGCGAAAGAAAATACTGTCAATAAATATCCTTTAAAACTCCTACGTGGAACGCTGAGCTTTTCTTCTCATATTCCGACGTGTCGCCTCTCCTCAGCGAAGCGTTTTCAGATGTACACTCATTTTTGATCTGAAACTTGATTTGAATGCAGTCTGTTGGTTAAATGTTCTCTCTATTCGACACAGAATGTTTTAATTCTCTCTGCCTCTGCACAGCCACGAGGCAGTCGCTCTTTGTCTGCATTCACTCGTTTGGCCTTGAGCACTTGCCTTTCTGTTGAGGAGGGATTTCTTCAACGCCTCGACTATCACTCAGGGTGAACTGAGAAATTATGACTTTAGTTAGATTTAATTTATCAGTGGTTGCAGATTCTAGTACAAATGAATACATATATATGTATATATGTATGTTTATATGTTTATTTGTAGGTGTCCGTGCATAAAGTAATAGGCACTGATTCCATTCACAGTCTGTACAGTTTACCGCACTAGTGTCCTGTGGGGTTTTTGTGGACGTATTTTGACATGTGCAGCAGCTGCTGACGAGGGATTAGGTTTTAGGGAAAAGAGGCAAAACAAGTTTGTGAAGTTTGTTTGTTATTTCTCTCCCTCCTGGACCAGAGTCTGCTTTACTCCTCATTTTCACTCTTTAATTAGTCCGTGCTGAACAACACTGCTGCATCAGTGTCAACACTTTGGAATTGACAGCCACAAGTGTAAAATAGTTTAAAAGGAAACCCGTGACGTGAGAATATAAGAAAAAAAAGGAAGGTTTATAAAAACAGTTCCATATAGAAAGGGCTTGGGTTCCTGTGTTACTGATGTCTGTTAAATCACAGAGGAGGTCTTCAACTGTGGGTCTGTGACCCCTTTAGGATTCACCATGCAACCAACAGACAATATTGTTCCTGACAAAATGTATGTCAAGAGCCCTGGATTACCATGGCTCGGTCGTCCTACATCCATTTCCTGATCCAGGTTAGGTCACTTCTTATGAGTCGTTATTTTTCTTAAAGCCTCAGACGTTGCCTGGACAGAAGCTGAACTGTTACAGTGTCAACTTTTAAAGGTTAAAAAACAAGAGCTAAGATGCCTTCGACTGACAGTCAGTCACTGGAGCAGCTTCACAGTTTCATCACAGCCCATTCATCTGCAGCCCATTCATGTGAAAACTCGGTCAGGCACTTCCTGTAGCTGAATGGTCTCAGATCAATCGACGACTTTCTTTCTTTGTCCTTACCTGCATTACAACGATGATCGCAGGAGTGAAGGCAAAGACAGTTCTCTCTCTCTCTCTCTCTCTCTTTTCTCCCCTCTTTTCTTGTTGTCACCCTTTCCTCTCTGGATCTGGATCTGGATCTGCTGGAGATTTCTCCCTGTGACTGTTGCCAAAACGCTGCTCACTGTGTGACTTTTATTCCACTTTTCTTAGTTTTGATCATTTAAACTAAGTATAAACATTGACCTCATATATATTCTCCCAACGTTTCACACAACCTTTCTGACTTAGCACTGGGTTAAATGATGAATTCATTCACAAAAGACTTTCATTTTCAGGTTACTTTTTCACTGCGCCTATGGATTAATGAATTCTCTAGGGACGTAACAGCTCGACCTTCCTACGGCGCACGGCGTATTCATCCTTGAAAAAAAATAATCTAGTCGACATTACAACACCTACGGTTACATTAACGTGTCCTCGCACTTTGTCAACACGTGGCCACATCTGCTCCGACCCTCAGCTAACTGCGATGTTTCCGTCTGGAGGACTGGGACACACAGAGTCAATATTTATGTAGAGCATGTCGGCTGCAGCTGTGCTCTCTGAGTGCTGATATACAATGGTTGATCTTGGGCAGTCCCTGTTCACCGTGACCTGCAGTCATTGAGTGAACTCTGGCCCTGGAACTGCCGGCTGCCGCCCCTTTATTATTCTGCCCGCATTTGTTTTCGCCCGTCAGCGAGGATGGCATCAGGTGGAAACTGCCTGTTTTCCCCAGCCACGCTGCCCGTCCAATTCCAACTTGGATTTGTTTACCTCTCCGTCACCCCCAGAGTGACACTTCATGACTGCATATGTGTACGAAAATATCAGGTGTGTGCGTGGAACTGGTGATGAGCTTCCTCTTTGTGTGTGTGTGTGCCATGTTCTGCTCCTACTGGCCACTCCTGTGTAATAACTCACCGAAGAAGAGTAGTGTTGCTGAGCTTTGTCCAACAAATCTCTTTAGCTCAGAGACGGCCCGTTACCGTGGTTACAATCAAAACATGATCTTGCGGACAGCATGAGGCTGACACTGAAAACCACGGTGGTGTTTACTCCTCTTCACTCTCGGTCTTCTGTTGATGCTGCAGACGAGCCCCTCAACACCTGTGGAGTGGGATCTCGGGGTCTTACCATTTTCAGGTCTTGGTCCCCAAACGTTGACCCCTTAATAACACTTTATTCACAATGTACAAAATTGTGCTTTATGTTATACTGGGTCCAGACGTCATGCTGTATTTTGTTAATGGATGAGAAAATGACATGGGCCCAGAAATGAACTCTGACCTCATCACTGTCCTCTAGTGGATGTGTTGTTTGACGACTGTTGTAGGCAGTAACAGAAGGAGTTGTTGTTGTTGTTGTTTAAAAGGGCAGAGCAGAAGCAAAGGTGAAGGTAATTCTAAAGTGAATTATTATCGATCCACTCCCAGCTGCTGCAGATCAATGTGTGTTGCCTGACGCCACCAATACTTAATAGTGTTTGTAATTTCTTAATGGACACTTGCACTGAGATTCCCACAAACCTGGGAGGCAGGAGAGACGGCCCCATCTGGATGACTGCAAATAAGGTGGTGATCTGTGTGAGGCAGAACGGCATCTGCATGCAGAGCTGCTGCCGCACAGATGAGCGTGGTTCCCGAGCGGCGTGAAATATCTCTTAGAGAGACGACTGGAAATCTACATTTAAGAGGCTTTTTTTTTTCATTGAACTGTTGCAGACATCAGGGATCTCTGGAAAGTTCCTCATGAAATAAACACCACCACACAATGGCAGCATGACATGTCACCACAGTATATGGAATGAAAGAATAAATAATAATAAATAATATATTATTTTTTGCAAAAGGAATAAATCAAACCTGGACAAAACAAACTGGATCAAACCAGATATTTCATCATGTTCTGAGTGTACCTGAGAATGTTGATGTTTCCTGGTGTCCTTGTTAGAGCCGTGGCAGGGGATTTACCTGATAAATTGCCGGAACATCTTGTGGAGAATCTCATGCTGGTATCTGATTAGAGGCCTGTGTCGGAGACAAATGTAGTTCAAGATATACAGCCATGCTCATGGAAGGGAAAATAGCAATAAATTTGTGTGTTTGTGTGTTTGTCTGAAGTATGATTATTTTGTCGGACTCTTGCATATCCATTATTTCGCCAGAGTGGGATTTATTTCTGTAAACCTCCAAACACACAGGCAGGTGAAGAGGTCAAGAACAAGCCTTTCATTCAAACAAAGCTCAGTGATGAGCAGAAATCCTCAGGATAATCAGACATAGTTATTATGAGTCATTTTGTGACAGAGATATAATATTTTTTAGCATTTCTTGGTGGAAATTATACAGATGTATATTTTGGTTTTGTTTTGTTTCTGATAAATTTTATTTTTTGGGATTCAGTTATGTGGAAAAAAGTATCAACAATGTATCAAAAGTGTAACTTTTTGACTCAGTGTAGATGTCCTTGACTTAGTGGTGAGGAAGTTGTGAAGAATCCCAGGTTTAATAGTTGTCTCTTGTGCATGTTTAATGTTGACCAAAAATGATGTTTTTATTTTTAAATTTTATTTTCCGCAGACTGTCGCCGTCTAGTGGCCACAAATAGCACAACCGACTGCACTCTACAAGTGTTTGGCTATCATCATGACATGATTCAAACGCAGCATTCACGCTGTGCGGTAGCGAACTTAGCTTTAGCTTTAGTTACGTGGATAAATAGATACTTTTCAACCAGAGGAGGCAACTGTCCAGTTTTTACGTTGGTATTATAATATAAGTTATTTAATTGTAGGTTATTAAACTGAGATTTGTGACTTAGTAATTGCATTTGATTCTTTTTTTAGAAAAAGACAAACAACCTCTGATACTCAGTCTGGAGCAGTGGTCCAACCTTTGGCTCCTGGGTCACATGTGGGTCTGCAGCCTCTTTGCCACGGCTCTCTGCATAAAACAAGATTCAATCAAAAGGCTTTGAATAATGCACTGAGACATTTTCATGTTTTACATTCAGTTTGCAAAACGCGGGAGAGAAAAACAAAAGGAAAGAAAAAGTCCTCAGGAAACAGACACCGTGTGTGGAGAGTAATCAGTCTGAGAGGATGAGAAAGCTCTGCTCTGTGACAGCACTCGCAGAGGAACGCATATTTTTCAAAAAGCCAGTTCTGCTGCCATTTCCCCACCTGTGAACCTGAGGCGGTCCAACACCGCATTAATGGAGGAAAACAGCTATTTCCCCAGGCTGTTTTCACAGCCAAGCCCTCTCTTCCTCCATTACCTGAGCTGCGGTGACAAATGTAAAGCCTTCGTGCTACGCCACGGCAATAACATAACATAAATGTGAGCGTTAATCAGGAGTAAGGAAACATTTTACCAAATGTCTTATTTTATTGACTAAAATATGTTAGGACACGTCTCCAACGCCAGCTTTGACAAGTTTTGTCATCATATCTTCCTCAAACGTACCTGTTATTCATGAGCAGATGACACATTTTCACCAAAAAACAAACATTTGAAAGGAATTGGATTCCACTGCAGTTTTTAATTCCTTCTCCTGTTGTGAATTTGTTATGGGTTCAACATAACAAATGGATGAACATTATGTTTTTAAATTTTGTTTTTCAGCCCAAAATATGTGAATATCATCGACAAACTGGAGATTTCTGGTGTAAATCCATTCATATCTGACCTGATCACATACAAAAGAAAAAGACGGAAGGGAAATTATAGGATATGATCGCAGAGGAACACTCCACAACATACTCCTATAGTGAAATATGAACTGTAAAAAATAGTTCATACTATACCTTTAACAATCAATCTGGAGGTTAGACAAACATTGACTTTTTCCTGTCAAACTCCTGTTTCAAGTGGCCCAGAAAGGGGTGGGCGTTTGGGGGGGGGTGTTAGGGTTAGGGCACGTCACACTGTTTGTGCACAAACAGACCTTTGGCCTCATCTCATCGCTGTTAAACACTGTATGTGCATTATTCTCCCACCGAGGCTTCTGACATGAAGTGCAGTTCACAGCCGGAGCAAAGTTCAAGGAGTTGGACCAGGCGTGTTCTCCTGCAAACACAGAACAAAAAAAAAATCAGTCAGTGCAGGAACAATAACAATAAAACACGCCCTCAGTGAAGCTATGGCACCTGTGTCTCCAAGCAACGCGTGTAGGAAAGAAAAGAAACAGCCGTTGCTTAATTAAGTGTGGACGGAAAACTGTGACTTTTCTGATNTCCCCCTCCTTTCAGGTGTGACACTGTGTCTTCCCCTCAGCACATCCCTGCGCCGTGGGAGAGCTGAGAACTGGGATCTCTGCAGATTGCCTTCGTGAGAAAAGTAGAAATGTGACACTTCCCGCAGCACAACCTGAGTGATAGCACTATCATGACACTTGACCACACTCATGTCACCCTGCCTCATCATTGGGTGCTGCGTTAACGCACGCACCCACGCGCGTGCTCGTTTGGAAGAGGCTGCTTTTATGGATCGGACACTTGTTCCCACGGTTGCACGGCTGCAGTGCAGCCTATCAGGGGTTGCCAGGGAATGTCTGATGCCAGAACCTGAACCGTATCTGTTTTGGGAGAAGCGATTTTGATAACGGAACAAAACAACAACGAAAATGTGAAGTTTTCCCACAGGCCATTTTGTGAACTTTGTTAAATTAAAACAAAACAAAAACATGGTTGGATTGGTATAAATGACAGGTGCTGACACCTGTCAGAAAGAAAATTGAAATTAAGTTATAAATACATTTTAATCCTGAGATGCCATGTGTGTTAGGAGCGCGTCTGCGGGCTGGATGCACTGCCTTATCTGTTGTTGGCTCAGTCTCTGATGTCACTGGATGAGCAGTGGGCTTCGAGTGCGCACCTTCGGACAGCAGCGCCACAGCCAGTGGGTTCTCTGCTCCTCCGCGCATCTACCCCACCCCCCCAAAATAAAACCTTTAGAAACCTTCTTAAAATCATTCCCTTCTCTCCAGAACTGGACGTCCTGTGAGACCGGGTGTCTTCGCTTTTCTGTGCATAAAACCTGCGCAAGAAGACGGACAAACACGGGTAAGAGAGGAACACTGGCGCAAAAAAATGTCTTTTGGTGCACTTTCATTTACTGAAAACACAATTCATGTTCCGTTGTCTTTTTCTTTTTTAATCTTTTTGTATCTGTAGTCAGACATTCAGTGTCATTCACTGACATCTGTCTGAGTGGAGAGCACAGTTTCCGCCCAGCACCAGCAGCACTTCGGTCTGCCGGGCAGCTTTCAGCACCATGGACAGCAACGTGTTCCATATCTATAAAGAGGACCGCTGTCCCCAGGGTCAGCCGGAGGACTGCGTCCCTAACTTTACCTGGCCACCCGGGTTACCAGACGCCTTCAACTACACCCTGAACGGCACCTGGGACGTCGAGTCCGAGCCCATGTCTCCCATCATCCCCATCATAGTGGCCGTGTACTCCGTGGTGTTTGTGGTGGGCTTAGTGGGCAACTGCCTGGTGATGTATGTCATCATTAGGTGAGTTGGAATTTTTTGAAATGTGGTTTCAAGAGTTTACACGAACGAGACGTGTGAAATGTATATGTGTACCCGTGCGTATACTACACAGTTAATGGTGTAACTCGCGTACTCGTATATTCAAATGCTGATGTTTTTATAACCTCTGGTCGCAGCGTCTTGTGTCACAGGAATTCCGAGCACAATCAACCTTATGTTAGGATAGAGATGTATTTATGTATTTGATAATGCTTTTAGAGGTACGTGTGTACAATTTTGTAGGATTTATTTTTTCCCTTTGTGTAACATGATGGAATTCTTAAGAACATAATAAGAAATATCAGGTATTTAATTAATTTTATTATTTAAAGTAAACATAATTTAGTTTTACTTTATTTCTCAGATATGTTTTCCAAACACCGGTATGTGGACCCTAAGGGGTACGCAGATTTTTTTAAAAATATTTCTTCTTATTATGTTCAAGCACTTGAATAAAGTGTGGACATTTTTAAAAATATTATATTTTCTAATTATTTTATGAAAGAATTTAATGTAACAACTGCATAAAAATATCCGAGCGGATATTTCTGTCATAACGTAGAATTCTAATGACTTTTACTTTGTGCTAAACATATATTTTATGACTTATGATTTAATGACTTTTACTTTGTGCTAAACATAATAACAGCTTATTCTTACATTAGGAAGGGTGAATAATTACTACATTTTTATTTATTTATTTATTTTTTGCTAAATAGCCATTACAATATACTAGTTATGTAGCATCCAATATGTAGCTGCCGGAATATTTTTTGATATTCAAATACTACTAAACTGCAACCATTATGCTTTAAAAAATATTTTTCCATTTCTATAGGTATACTAAAATGAAAACAGCGACCAACATTTACATCTTCAACCTGGCCGCGGCGGACGCCCTGGTGACGACCACCATGCCGTTCCAGAGCACCGACTACCTGCTCAGCTCCTGGCCGTTTGGCGAGGTGGCCTGCAAAGTGTTCATCTCCATCGATTATTACAACATGTTCACCAGTATCTTCACCTTGACTATGATGAGTGTGGACCGTTACGTGGCCGTGTGCCACCCGGTCAAGGCCCTGGACATCCGCACGCCGGTCAAGGCCAAGATCATCAACGTGATCATCTGGGTGCTGTCGTCCGCCGCTGGGATCCCCGCCATGATACTGGGCAGCACCAAAACCAACAACGGTATCTGACCATCGCATTCATTACATCTGTCCTGAGTCCATTCTGTCACAATTCCATCGGCGGCACGGTTCAACTATTAACGTCACACTAGAAGAAACACAGTCATTTCACCTCTTTGTGCAGAAATGATTTAAGAAGCGGTAATTGTCTTAATTACATCTCATTAAGAGACCCTTTTTGTCTCTCTGAGCCACGGTTTGAGAATCATTCAATCAGACCCAGTTCATTAAAGTGCAGTTCGTTTAAAGACCTCTTTCACTCCATTAGAAGATCTGGATGGTCCTGTCATCTCTGACATATTTACTGTGTCACAGAAAAGGACAGGGAAATGTGCACTGGTTAGCTGGTAGTTAGTTGGTAGTTAGCTGGATAGCTGGTAGTTAGCT